TATTTTTAAAGTAAGCTCTACACCCAATATGGGGCTTAAACTCAGGACGCCAAGATCAAGAGTCACATGTCATGCCAACTGAGCCAGCCACACATATATATACCTATAAAATCATATAAACAGGATTTATGTGATTTTTTTTTTTAAGATTTTATTTATTTGACAGAGACACAGCGAAAGAGGGAACACAAGCAGGGGGAGTGGGAGAGGGAAAGCAGGCTTCCCAAGGAGCGGGGAGCCCGATGCGGGGCTCCATCCCAGGATTCTGGAATCATGACCTGAGCTGAAGGCAGACACTTAACGACTGAGCCAGCCAGGCGCCTCGAGATTTATGTGATTTTTAAACAATATTTCAAACAGACTATTATGTAGTTTTTTTGGCTTTGCTTTTGTTTTTACTTTTTTTTTATTCTTTATTTTAAAGATTCCATCTATCTGAGAGAGAGAGCACGAGTAGGGGGGAGAGGGAGAAGTGGACTCCCCGCTGATCAGGGAACCCATTGTGGGACTCAATCCTGGACTCTGGGATCATGACCTGAGCCAAAGGCAGATGCTTAACCGACTGAGCCACCCAGATGCCCCTATTTGTACTTTTAAAAATATTAAATGAGGCTTGTTCTCTTCTCAGCTCCATTTTCCCTAAAAACTGCCACTACTTTTCCCTTTACATACTATTTTTGTCATGATAATTATTTTTTTTAATTTTTTTAAAGATTTTATTTATTTATTTGCCAGAGAGAGAGAGAGCACAAGCAGGGGGAACGTCAGGCAGAGAGAGAAGCAGGCCTTTTGCTGAGCAAGGAGCCTGATGTGGGACTTGATCCCAGGACCCCAGGATCATGACCTGAGCCGAAGGCAGACAATTAACTGACTGAGTCACCCAGGCGTCCCTCATGATAATTATTTATAGGGATGACAGTTGGTTACACACCCCCATTAAAAAAAACAAACAAACAAAAAACCCTACACTTATCTCATAGATGAAAAAAACTTAGATGAAAAAACTTAATGTAAAGTGACTGTGTAATGGATTTTTAACCCTTAAGTGGTAGAGGACAGAGCTCAGTCTGAAAAAGTAAATATAAGAGCAAAATTTCTCTGAAGCACTATGTAGTTTAATAATTATATCAATCCACTACTCTATTGCATCTAATTGCAATGAGTATATTGGTATTCTTAATAGTTTTTTGTCTTTGGATTATTTCTAGGGACAACTTTCCAGGTATGGTATTTACAGAGATTTTAAAATCATTTTTAATAATTGTTCCCAGGGTCCCCTGGGCGGCTCAGTCAGTTAAGTGTCTGACTCTTGATCTCAGCTCAGGTTTTGATCACAGGGTTGTGAGTTGTTCCCAAATGGTTTTTTAAATTATTTTTATTATTTATTTATTTTTAATGGATAAACGGGTGTTTATTTTATTGTTACCCATTTTGAACTGCCAATTTACATCACTTATACTTTTTTGTATATCTCACTGTACTAGTTCTCTAGGGCTGCTAAAACAAATTGTCACAAAACTCCTGCTTTAAAAAAAACTGCAAGTTTAAGGTGACTTTGGATATTAGCATTTTTCCCCAAGTTGTTTTGGATTTGAATGGATAACCTTTTGACATCTTAAAACAACAGAAATTTATTCTCACACTCTGGCAGCTAAACCAAGGTGTGGGTAGGGCCACACTCCTTTCAAAGGCTCTGAGAGATAATCCTAGGAGAGTAGTATAGATCTACACATTTTAGGAATAACTTTTCTGCTTGAGTGTTTCTCATTCTTTTAAAATAAAAATGTAGTAGATTTTATTTTATTTTTATTATTATTTTTTTTTATTTTTAAGTAGGCTCCATACCCAGCATGGAGCCCAACATAGGGCCTGAAGTCCCGATCCTGAGATCAAGACCTGAGCTGAGATCAAGAGTTGGATGCTTAACCCACTGAGCCACCCAGGTGCCCAGTGAATTTAGCTCTTAAAAAAAGGGATGTTTTTCCTCCATAGCCTGAACGTACTGTTTCCTTTTTCCTTGGGCCTACCTTGTTTACTGGGATCCATGTTGCTTTTTTTCTGCTCACTTGACATTAAAACAGTGGAAGGGTAGTCAGGCTCACCTGGCTCTGGGTATGAGCTGGCCTTGATCCCCGTAACCTTTCCTCCTGATGCTGCCATATTTATTTTCTTTACTGAAGTATAGTTGATACACAATATTGCATTAGTTTCAGGTGTACAACATAGTGATTCAGCAACTCTATATGTTATGTTATGCTCACCATAAGTGTAGCTACCATCTGTCACCATACAACACTGTTATAATACCACTGACTATATTCCCTATGTGGTACCTTTCATCCCTGTGACTTATTCATTCCATGCATATAATATCTTCTTTATCCATTCGTCTATGAATGGACACTTAGGTTGCTTCCATATCTCGGCTATTGTAAATAATGCTGTAATGAATATGTGGGTGCATCTATCTTTTTGAATTACTGTTCTTGTTTCCTTTGAATACATACCCAGTAGTGGAATCACTGGATTGTGTGGTATTTCTATTTTTAAATATTTGAGGAAGCTCCATACTATTTTCGACAGTGGCTAACCAATATGCATTCCTACCAACAGTGCACAAGGGTTCTCTTTTCTCCACATCCTCACCAACATTTGTTATTTCTTGTCTTTTTGATATTAGCCATTCTGACTGGTGTGAGGTGGTATCTCATTGTGGTTTTGATTTGCATTTCCCTGATGATCAGTGATGTTGAACATTTTATCTTGTGTCTGTTGGCATTGTTCCCAAATGTTTGAAAGAATCATTTACACAACTCATTTTATCAAAAACCAGCTAGATTGTTTTATATTATTTAAGATTATAATTGCTTCCTTTATTAACTTGAAATTTCAAAGTTGAGATGAATTCTTGCTTTTCAGATTTAGCACTATGATTCTTTTTGTGTGTATGATATTTGAAGAAGTATGAAAATCCTTTATCACCCTTCTCTCGATATGTGGAAAGTCAGATTTGGGTTCTAAAATCCTTTAATATGTCAAGTCCTGATAATATTTCTAGCTACCTGAAAATGATTGAATCGGATAAGAATCTGTTTTTTCTTTCCTCCCAGCATTACCCACCAGAACAATTCAGACTTTTCATAAATAGTAATGTCGGTGTTCCTTTGGTAGTAAATATTTAAAAGAGGAATTAATTCTAGAAAAGGTGATTTTTATTATATTTTTACCCTACTCTAGATGCTGATCATTGCACTGGACTTTAACTTGCAGTTTTTTTTAAAGCAGGAGTTTTAAGGTGACTTTGGATATTAGCATTTTTCCCCAAGTTGTTTTGGATTTGAATGGATAACCTTTTGACATTGAGTATTCCTTGGTGGGACTAAAAAATTTGCTTGAATAGCTAGCTGACAAACCTCTGTAACCTGTAAATAGGCTAGACAGTTGCTATACATTTCTAAAACCAAAGTATTTTTAAAGGAGAGAGTTTTGGAAAAATAGGAAATCCTAGCTGTCAAATGTACAAAGATGAACGTTCCGAAAGAATTGCTGAATCATGAATGTAAAGCTGCTTGGCATATAGAGTTGGTGTTCCCATATCTTTAAAGGTTAACATGTGATCATTAACTTTTCATCATATTCTAAACATATATGTACATTTACTTTTCCTTTACAGGTTCTGTTTTTCTTTTAAGCTTACAGATTTAAGGTATTTATAGGGCTCTGTGCAATTCTTTTCACATTTTCTTATTAATCCATCTTTCCATATTAGAAATGGGAACATTTTTTAAAATATAACAATATAGGAGATAAAAGATGAGTAATATACATTGAAAATTTTTCTCATAAGTATCATATATATATATATAAGCAGCCATTGAAAGGGTATATAAATGATGATAGGACATAAACTTTGTTAACAAAAAAATACAAAACTACAACAAATAAACATAAATGTCTATCAGAAAAAAAGGACTAGAAGGAAATACACTAACATTTAGCAGGGATTACCTAAAGTGGTATGATAGGGAGGTTTTTATTTTATACTTTTTTCTTCTTTTTTCCTTCTGTGTTTTCCAAAATCTTCAGCAATGAGTATTGCTATTTATAATTAGGGAAATGTGTTTTTAAAAGAAAAAAATACTTCTCATATATCACTGCCCCATAAATAGCATATCCAGATTTTAAGATGATCCAGTCAAGGTCTTATAAGAAACATGAGTATTTACTGTCTGTAACCTGATACTTGTCTTCTATTTTTCCTGCAGCACAAAAATTCTTTAAATAGTGACCCTAGGAATTGGGTGGAGGCGGGGGG